TTTTTCTGACACAGTTAAGTGTTTGATATAACTCTGTGAATAACATAACATGTGCTTCGACACCAATTAAAGGAGCAAGAAACACAAGAAGGGGGGGGGGGGGGGGGGGTTAAATTGGGTTTCAAGTATGACAACCGTTTCTATCCCAAAACAAACATAAAAACAACAACAACAAAAAGGATAATGATAAAAGACGCAAGTATTTTATCTTGGTTCACTATTAATAATACTACACCCATCCCACCCACCTGGGTGATTTTTCTTAGAAAAGAACTTAATCTAATAATCAAAACTGATTACAAATGCAATGATAACCTGTCACTGACTTCTTAAGAGACTGACCTACCCGGTCACTTAAGAAATATTGACGGTCATTGACTCCTTAAGATCTTGACCTATACAGTCTCTTAAGAAGATTTAATCCTCAATTATTATCCATCATTGACTTCTCAAGAGCCTAACCAACCTGGTTGCTTGAGGAATATAATAAATTGGGTTATAATAATTTTGTGTTTATAGAGTTTGCTTCTTGATAAGCTGACAACACGCAAGATGAGTATCAATTGTATACACTTAAGATAATATACAATGAAAGTTCTAAGTGTTTCTCTCTTTGTTGTGTTGTGGTGTTTGTAGCTTCAGCGTTTGCAAAGACTCACATCCATATTCTTTCACACACACACACACACACACACACATGCCTGCATCCACTTCGATTTCTTTTCTTTTATTCTTTCTTCTTCTTTTTATATTCTACTTACTAATAATATATAGGATATGTATAGATCCATTTGAGGGTAGAATAGGAATTGTCCTTAAAGTATTCTTTGTATAAAGGTCACTTCATATTGAGCAATAAAGAGGCACTTTGTAGTAGAGAGTAGGTGATGATGGGACGTGAGAAGCTTCTTTACTTTGAAAATAGATTTTTATTTTGTACTTTTGTCACATCAAATAGTATTGACCTTTGATTCAAATCTTATAGTCAGAGTTTTCATATGGAAGTGATTTGAAGCTTGAGTAGAGATTAGAGTATGTCTTCATAAGGAAATCTCTTTTTATTTGTAATTTCCTTGAGTATGCTACTCTTCGTAATCAGAGGCTTCATATAAAAGATGAAGTGAAGCTTGATCAGAGTCCAGAGCATAGATGATGTAGACTACAAAGTCTATTTAAAGTGAGGCTTGAAAGTACTACAATCCAAAGTAAATGTGAACAAGAAATGCATACGCATTTACTAGTTTATTCAAATCAGATGCTCTGGTTGTTAGAGAAACATTTCATTTTCTTACCAACTTCTAGTTAGAGGCTTCTAATATAACTTGATGAAGACTGAGTAGAGTTTAGAACATGTCTTCAGAACTTGGTGAGACTTTAGATTCCTTGGAGTACTGGGCTCTGAGACTTGTACAAACTTATAGCCAGAGGTTTATCAGAGTTTGTCTGGATGGTTATGTTTAGAAATGTTAACCTAATAATCTTGAAGCTTTACTTTTCTTTAAACACATCTTCGCATTCTTCCTTTTGTTCAAAGTATGGCTTCTTTTTAGAATTCTCTTTCAGCTTTCTTCAGACTTTGTCTGCATTCAGATTGACTTCTTCAATAGTATAACTTTCTTTAGAGTCTGTTTTTTATAATTTGATGTCGTTCAGACCTTGCTTCAGACTTTGCTTTGATTTGACGTTTTCTTTCCATTTGACTTTGCTGTCTTCTGAGTTGACTATCGTAGTTGACTTTTTCAGAGTCTTCAACTATCACAGTAGACTTTAGACTTAACATTAGAAGTTTCTTGATCAGAATTTAATTCAATCAACATTTGCTCTCTTCACTTAGATTCAGTTTAGACTGAGAGTTTCTGCACATTTAACAAAATAGTTAGTGCATAAAATTGTTCTTCTACACTTGTTATCATCAAAACATAAAGTTATGTAGATGTAAAACTAAACTTGTTCTTACATATAAAACATTCAATCTCAATAACAATAACACCAAACCTTTTATTTATCTCAACACAAAACAACAATATAAAACCTTTAATCTCAATATCAATAACAATAACAACATAAAAACTTCAATCTCAATCACAACAACAACAACAACATTAAACCATTAGGATTTAGAGTTTCAACAAAAACAAAAACAATATTAAACTTAAAATATCTCAACAACAACGACATTATTGTTACATGCATGATGAATATATTTTACGTACATGAAACATGATGAAGAAGACAAAGAAATAAGATTCATTTGAGTTTTGTGTTCCCTTCTTGCGAGTTTCATTCGAGTTACATTCTTCGAGTTTCCTTCTTTCCTTGCTTCGTACGAATTGAAGAAGATATGATGGAGGTTTGAACCTTGTTTATGGAAGAAATGGTGTTTTCAAGTTTGATTAAGTGATGAAATAATATTATCATTTTTAGTTTATTGAAGAAATGGCGTTTCGTTCGTTAATGGATATGGTATTTCGAGGAGATGATGAGTTTCACTAGGGTTTAATGATATTCAAATTTTAAGAAAAAACTAATAAAACAAGGTATAACTCTATTTTAAAGAAGGAAAAAGGATGCAGGAAGACTTTTTAAGCCATCCGAGTTTGTTTTAAGGCAAAAAATAACATTTTAATATTTTTCACAAATTTCAATTTTTATTTTAAATTAAATATACATTAGGGTTTTTTATTTTATTTTATTGTATTTCTGTTTTGGATTAAAAGCTCATTACGATTTCTTTTTTCTATATTTACACTCTTAAGAGTGGTTATCTAGATTATCTTTGATTTAATAAAATTCAATATTTTATTTATCTGGAATTCTATAATTTATCAGATAGGTTTTGCGCTTGCAATCTTGTATTCTCATTTTAGTTTTAGTGCTTGCTAATCCCTAATATTTTTGACTACTTACAAAAGAACGCTACTTTTTTCCTCGATTGGAGTCTCTGAATCGAAGGGAAATCCTATTTATTTTTATTAGAATAAAAAATAAAAATAAGACACCAATTTATTTAATTGATCCATTTTCCTTTCGGTTGAACTTTCAACTAAGGGATATTTTTATTTATTTTAAATTAAAAAACACAATTTTAATTTTTTTTATTAATTAAAAAAAATAAAAAATCAAGACCATTTTTTTATCAAAAAATATTACAAAGTATTGACATTGAAAATTAAACTCATGACCAATATCATTTTTTCCTTCGGTTAGACGTAAAATCGAGGAAAAATATAATTTTTTTTAAAGTTAAAAATATAAAAAAAAAAGCATTACTTTTGTTATAAATAAAATCAAATTTACTAACTTTAAAAGTCGAACTTATGATTAATGTATTTTTTTCTCGTTAAGAGTTTTAACTAAAATAAAATCTTATTAATTTTTAATTTAAAAATAAATAAAAAGGAGGACGTCAAATTTTAAAAGCTTCACTTAAATCTTTTGTACAACTAAGATGAAAATTTTGTTATAAAATATATTATTTATGATAATGAAATTGGATATATAAAATAAAGTTGAATCCAAGAAGTGAGTTGAAATGTAAGGCCAGAAAAATGATATCTTGAAAGAGAATACATTACTTAAAAAAATTCTTTACACCAGATGTCAGAATTGAGACATTGCATAGATTAAAACAGGCATCAAAAGCATGGATAAAGAGAAATAATGGATTTCTGAATGAATTTGGCTTCACAAAGTGTGACATAAAGGATAGAAACAAAAGAGTGATCATACTATGCTACTTTTGTATCCATTTCTATAGATCAATGCACTTCACTAACTTACAATTAAAATTTGGTATCTCAAATTGCAACAAACAATTTATTACTAATCTCATATGTGAATTTATAAAAATTCCCATAGAAATATTGTTTAATTATAAGGGAACTATACAATCTGAATTGGGAACAATTGTGAAGCCCAAAGAGATACCACATAAACCTGGCAAGAGACCTATAGCTGTAGCCTTTGGGCCATAATTTTCAATTAGGCCCAATACACATCTACAAACAGATTGCTTATTATTACCTGAATTTGAAATTATACTCAATCCTAACATGGCATCACAACAAGGAGACCCTGGAATTGGATCTGGAGTGCCATAACTGATGAAAATTGAGCATGAAGAAAAAAGTTTAGCAACTGTGGTGCATTCTATGTATGCAAACACTAATGAGGGTGTGGATAGCAACATCAAAATCCCAAACATTCTTAATGCCTTGAAGCCTCCCATTGTACAATATTTCATCACAAGAGATTCTTTCCTTCTAGTTCTTTTTGTTTATAATGGTATTTGTAATGATATCAGTTATAAAGTTAGATATAAGAAGAAAATGTTTGGTTGGTGTGCAATGTGGAACTTGTGGTTACATTGCTTACATGAAATTTTAGTGAACTTTGAGTTGTGCATGACACAACTATTTCCGATGATGTAATTAAAACATACAATTTTATTAGTTATCACATTAGTCTAATCATGATTTTAAATTGCAATCCACAGTCGTAATTGTTTCCGCAATATTGCAGATGCGGTTGCGGATCAGCCTGTTGTTTATTGCATTGTGATTTTAAAATTATGTTTTCAGCTATATTATAAATCACATTAGACAATTTCAATCATGTTTATTCAATTATCAGAATCAAAATATTAGAATCTTAAAATTCAATATACTTCTTATGTAATGAAAAAATTTAATATTAAGTATCAACATTATATTTCAAACACCTTCCTATAAAAACTCACACTACAACGGCCGCAATGTGCATCGCAGCAACCGCAATAACCACAATCGCAACACCCACAATTGCAATTTAAACCCATAAATCTAACACATTAGAGGTCTTCGGTTCAAGAGCTTCATATATTTTCTATAAAAAAGTCATGAATATAAACAAACGAGAAATAAGACCTGAATATTGGATGTCTAAGAACTTATAGATATGCATAGAAGAAAATACATTCCTAGTTAAAACCATATATAATATAAGCTATCTCAGTTTAATTCTCATATATAGTTGCATTCCCATTCAGAACTTGGCACACAAGTTAGGTAGTGACACCAATGACAATGATCATTTCCATTCTCACCATTGAACAGCATCACCAATCCAATTGTTAACCTGCATTTATTTAAACAAATACGTTTCAATGCTTAACATATACACAAATTCATCAGTACATAACAGAAACTATAGTATAGAGAACCTTACCCAACAATCAAGAGAATTAGAGACACAGCCCCTAGAATGTATTGGTAAGCTTTGAATTTCGACTTGAGACGAATACCAGCAGGAAGACGACGCTGCTCTAACCAACCGTATTGAGGACGCGGAAGTAAAATGAAACCGAGTAGAACTCCGGTTGCAAATCCTCCAATGTGAGCAAGGTTATCTACGTGCGGCAAAATGCCTATCGCGAGGTTGATGGCGATGATAGTTAGAAGAGTGAGCAAAGCAGACACTTTATTGGAATATATAGTCCAATTTGTAAGAAGCTCTGAGAGCATTGCTCCAAGAAGTCCGAAGAGTGCACCAGACGCACCGACCGAGATGCTATTTCGAATAAAAAGAGAAGAAAGTACACTTCCACCAAATCCAGACAATAGGTATATCAATCCAATTCTCACTGTCATAAGTTCAACAAGTAAAAATGTTACTGAAATCAATAAAATCAAAATTTCATATGATGATATCAGTATATATAACAGAAGAAAAATCTTACAAAATCCGAATTGCTGTTCGAGGCGAATGCCGATGAGAACAAGGCATATCATGTTTGATAGCAAGTGAATAACTCCGGCATGTAACCAAATGCAAGTGAAGAGTCTCCACCCTTGATGTTGGTTCACAATATTTTGCCATTTAAGAGCTCCCATCTTAGTTAATCTTAAAAAAAACCACCAAGTGACCAAACATTTCAAATCAATAGCTTTACCTTAAAAACATAATAATAGGTTATTAACATTCACATATGAATGAAGCTCTGATACCAGAAACACAAAACCGACACAGATACGTCGATACCAATAATATTTTTAAGAAATAAAAAAATTGATCACAAGTAGAACAAGATTTTATGTATAAAAGAGTACAAATTTGAATCTCTTACGTTAAGGAAGAAGGACCAAGCAATGGATTCTCCCTCAAAGGCTGGAAAGAGAATCTCCCAAGGAAGCCAGGAACACAATCACCCTGAAAACCAAAATTTTCCTTGGGACAATTGTTAATAGCCATGGCCACAATGAAAACAACAAAGTTAACAAACACAAAAACAGGCACAAGCCATGAATTCCTATGATTTTCAGCATCATAAACATATGCAGATGAATTTGCTGCAGAATAATTGTTGGTGTTCTTTGTCCCTCCTCCACCACTTTCAACATCTCTCCTAGAATTCATTTTTCCCTCTGTAGCAAACAAACAAACAAAAACCAATATATGAAGTATGAAATTTGGTTGTAATAAAATGGTGACTTATAGAATGAAGAGGTTGGTGAATGAATGTGTTTTAAATACAACCATTAGTGGAGTGATTAACACAAATAATTTCACTAATTAATCACTCTAATTTTGTGAGTTAACTTAACTGGAAGGTTCCGTTTTGTGGTTGAGTCGGTTAATGCTAATTACATATGTTAATTATTTTCTTAATATTAGTTCTATTTTTGGGTTACGTGATTTCTAGTGAAAAGAGACAAGCAACTTTAAATAAAATCAAATGAAAGCGTGTTAAGAGAAATAACTAAGTGACAAGTATTAGAAAACAAAATGAATTATGTTTTAGTTTAGAGTATATGTTATGTTTTTGGCTTACCAAAAAAAGAGAATATATATTAATATCTACTCGTTCTATAAATGGTAAAGCTTAGCTGGAACTTACTTTGATTTGAAAAAAATACATCTCATAATTTATATAAAAAAGTAGGTATAGGAATATTATATTATCATACTCACTATCTATTATCAAAATTTAAATTATGACATATATTATTTTCGGAGTAGGATATATATATATATATATATATATATATATATATATATATATATATATATATATATATATATATATATATATATATATATATATATATATATATATATATATATATATATATATATATATATATATATATATATATATATATATATATATATATATATATATATATATATATATATATATATATATGTATATATATATATATGTATATATATATATATATATATATATATATATATATATATATATATATATATATATATATATATATATATATATATATATATATATATATATATATATATATATATATATATATATATATAATTTTAATATTAATGGAAATATAATTATTTTAAGATATCTGAAATTATGCCACTAGTATGTATTTAGAATAGTGTTTTGAGTATGAAATCAAACAAAGCTATCTTTTAGTAAAATAAAAATAACTCTATCAATTTGATGTTTTATTTATTGTACTTAAATCCTTTTATAGGTTATTCTAACTCTACTCTTGTGTTTTTATCGATATCACACTTCAAAAATATCTACATTATGGCCTTATCTTCAATTTAATTCCATTTTATTTTACCGACACTTATATTTACAATTTCTTTATTAAGTATGTCTTTAACCATAGTTACAAACAACCATACACAACGTTTTCTTTACTACAACAAATATCAACAACAACTTCGCATTCTTCTTTATATATATATATATATATATATATATATATATATATATATATATATATATATATATATATATATATATATATATATATATATATATATATATATATATATATATATATATATATATATATATATATATATATATATATATATATATATATATAATTTAAAATTTTATGAGTAAAATTTCCAAAGCTTAAAAAAAATGCAGGGTAATAGATAGATTTAGATGTGTTTAATAAAGCACCACACGAAAACAAGAAAACTTCTCATATTGAATTAAAAACACTCCAAAACAATATTGGAAAAGATTATTGTTTAGAATGTATGAGAAAATTGTTATTGAATAATGCAACTTTAAGTTGTTTGTTTATAGGAATGTTCAATTATTTATATAGTAAGGAATCACACATAGCTAACTACATTATAACTAACTCTTTGTTAATTATTCTATTAGTCAATTATATTATAACATTTACATGTTGAACACAATACTACAACATTTTGTTTGACATTTCAACATTTACTAATCTGAAACTAGCAAAAGAGACAAATTACAACATAATTCTGATAATATATTCATGCACATTGTTGCGCATGACTCAAATGACATAAACTCTAATTCTTGTTTTGATGTAGTTGAAAGATTCGAGCTTCATTGGTTTAATTAGCACATCTGCAAGTTGCTCTCATGTGCTGCAATGCTTCTTCTCAATTGTACCATCTTTGGTCAAGTCCATAAGAAAGTGAATCCCTACATCTATATGCTTGTATCTTTCATGCATCACTAGGTTCTTTGACAACTTAATTGTGGAATTGTTGTCACACATGAAGATTGCACATTGACTTTGAGTCTGACCAAACTTGTGAAGAATGCTTTGAAGCCACACTGCTTGACAAGCACATGAGGCTACTGCAACAAACTCAACTTCAGTGCTTGAAAGAGTCACAATGGGATGCTTCTTTGAAGACCATGATATAAGACCTGATCCAAGCTTGAACACATACCCTGTAGTGCTTTTTATGTCATCGATATCTCATACATAATCAGAGTCTGACCACCCTTGTAAGACCATATCATCATTCATCTAGTACAAAACTCCCAGGTTCATGGTTCCCTTTAGATACCTTAGAATTCTTTTTGTAGCTTACAAGTGAATTTCAATTGGTATCTCCATGCATCTCGCTACCAAACATACTGAATAGGCAAGGTCAGACCTAGTAGCAAGCAAATACCTCAAGCTTTCCACCATCTGCTTGTAGCTTATGGCATTAAATGGCTCGCCATTTTCATCGTTGTTCAACCTGCAATCTGACTCAATAGGATTACAAACCTATTGCATTGATCCATGCTAAATCTTATGAGTATTTCATTGGTATATTTCAGTTGGAAGATTAAGATTTCTGCATTTTCTTGCTTTACTTCCACCCCGATAAAGTATATCATGTTCATATCTATCATGGGAAACATATTCCTCATTGATTCCTTGAATCCTTCAAACATTTATTAATTACTTCCTGTGTAGATTAGATCACCTACATACGAGCCGGAAATCAATATCTTTCCCTCACTATGCTTTACAAACAATGTATGTCTATGAGGTCACTTTTCAAAATTCTCTTGATTGAAATATGCTTCAATCTTGCTATACTAGGTCCTTGGAGCCTGCCTAAGGCCATAAAGTGTCTTTCTCAGCTTGTAAACCTTGTCTCTTCCTCCTTTCTCATAGCCAAGTGGTTGATCTATATATACATCTTCCATGAACTCACCGTCCAGGAATGCACTCTTGACATCAAGTTGATACACCTACCATTTCTTGCATGCTGCAAGTCCTAAGACAATCCTGATAGTATCCCATCTTTCCACAAGAGCAAATAATTCGTTGTAATTTAGGCCATGTTCTTGTGAGTACCCTTTAGCCACAAGCTTTGCTTTGTATTTCTCTACTTCCCATTTTCATTGCATTTTGTTTTGTATATCTATTTGACACTAACTTTCTTGGCTTCTGGTGGTAGATTAACTAGGCTCTAAGTACAATTTTTTCTCAATACATTCAATTTTCAGGTCCATAGCTTTCCTCCACTTCTCATGCTTGACTGCTTCATCATAATTGGGAGGATCATTGCTGCCACAAAACACTGGTAAGTTGTGTAGTTGCTTTTCTTCCTCCCCTTCTGAGCTTGTAACATACTCATTCAAGTACCATGGATTTCTTATTTTCCTCACTACTGCCTCTGCATGCTCTTATATTTGAGCATTGTTTTCTTTTTCAATAACACTATCATCACTAGCACTTTCTACATTGTTTCGCTCATGTTGAGAGCCATCATTTTTAACATGCACTCCATCATCAATCACTTCAACTTCATCACTCTCCATGTCTACTTCTTCTTTATCAACATTTCTGGTTGATTGAGTCTTGTCTTCTTTGTCATGCTTGTTTCATTCCCAACTTTTTTTCTTCAAAAACCACATCCTTGATGATCACATTTTTGTTATTCATAGGATCATAGAGCTTGTAAGCCTTTGATTTTTCACCAACTCCAAAAAGAACATACTTTTTATTCTAGACATCTAGCTTTTTATGTGCACATCTTGAATGTGTACAGAAGCTATGCAACCAAACACCTTAAAGTGATGCACTGAGGGTTTTACATCACTCCATGCCTCTTCTCACAGATAATGTTGGAATTTTATTAATTACATATGTTGCCCCTTTAGCTGCTTCAGGCCAAAAGCTCTTAGGAACATTTCTACTTGTCATCATGCTTCTGATCACATTCATCATAAAGTCCTATTAATTCTCTCTGATACTCTATTTTGCTGTGGAATATAGGAATTTATTAATTTCCTCTTGATGCCATGAAGACTGCATAAGTCACAAAGGCCTGACTCCTTTTCTACTAAGGCTTTGAATTGATTGAAAACTTCAAAGGTCTGACTCCTTTTCTTCTAAGGCTTTGAATTGTTTGAGAACTTAAAGGCACCCGTTTTTCATGTAAAAAGTAAATCCATGTCTTTTTACTAAGCTCGTCTATGAATGTGATGAAATACTTGATAGGTCCACACATATCTGAGTGGATTAACTCAAGCTTTTCTTTGGCTCTCCATATGGCTTGCTTTGGTATGGCTTCTCTATGCTGCTTTCCTATCAAGCAATATGAACAAGTATCTTCCAGGTCTTTCAAACTAGACATTCCATTCATCATCTCCTTCTTGATGAGTGTGTCAAGTCGTTTAAAGCTCATATGGCATATTGTCGCAACACAAAAAATACATTAGCACATTGCAAGCTCGAACATACAACAGAGTCACGACTAAATTTTATTCATTCCCGAAGGAAATGGAAAATACCAATAAAACCTTTGGGAAAGAGAAATAGGTAAGAGAGTCGGTTATGCAAGGGTAAGGTATTAACAACCCTCATATCCATTGTATTAAACGGTGTCATACCCCAATTTTGTTCAGGAATTTTAAAATATTTATCCATCTGACTTTTTTTTTACTTTACATCATCTGTATAACATAACATGTATTTTATCTCGCATAATGCCTAAAATTTAATTTCGTCAAGAATAAATTTTTAGATATACAGACAGACCGGTTGAAGTGTTTCTCAATTATGCGCAAAATAAGCAGACGAAAAGTTTCAAAATCGAGTCTGCAAGCGTCAGTATCATTAATCTATGGTTCACGTAGT